AAGCACGAATTTCAAAAAAGTTGAAAATAGTATCAGCATGCGTTCGTAGTTTTTGAGTTTATGGCATTCAGACAGACATGATGACTTTGATATACAGTGCGAGTCTCTAACATGGAACAAATTCACTAAATCAAAGATGTTGTTTCTTTCGGAAATATGCTCGGACAGGTCGATTAGTATTTTGAAGTGCCATTATTTTCTTGCAAAAAAATTATACAGTATGTCTCGAATATGAGATATAACTTCATCGTTGATTTTTTAAAATGACAACCCTGATTTTTTAATGACTTTTATTAAAGGGTTCAACAAGTTGCACATGCCTGCCAAATTTCAATTTTTTACTCCTTGTCCTTTAAAAGATATTTAACAAACATTATTTAATTCAAAAAATGAATTCAATTCAATAGTCTTCCTTCAATAAATGCTCAGAATGTCAGGGATACCTGACAGTGACATTGTCATAAAAAAAGTTATCAAAAAAAGTAAGGAGAGTAGTATCGCATTCCAATCATATTTGTGCACAAAAACTGTTATTCGTTTCACAGTTTGTTGCTCGCCATTAGTAAAATGCCGTACTTAACTGAAACACATAAGATTGAAATTCTAATGAATATTGGCTACGGAGATACGACAAGAACACAAAATGAAGTTACCCATTTATTCAGAGAGAAGTATACTGATTCACCACCCATATCGCAAAGTACCGTAAGCAAGATCGAAAAACAGTTCCGGGAAAATGGGCTTCACAATTAATCATCGTCGGAGTGCGCTCAGTGAAGAGGTCAAAATAAATGTTCTCTCTGTCGAAGAAAATCCTCATGTCCCCACTAGGCAGATAGCTAAGGAACTCGAAATTAGCCAGTCTTCAGTGCAAGAGTTCTTGAAGCTGAAAAATGTTATCCATATAAAATAACAATTCTCCAGAAACTCACCGAAGATGATCCAGATAGAAGACTCCAGTTTTGAGAACAAATGATGGATCTACTGGACAGGAATGTTGTACAAGAAGCAAACGTTCTATTTTCTGACGAATCAACGTTTATGTTGAATGGTGTGGTAAATCGTCAAAATTGTCGTTAATGGGCAGACAGAAACTCACACTGGATGAGCGAAGGCCACACTCAACATTCAGAAAAAGTCAATGTTTGGGCAGGGATTGTTGGTGATCGAGTTATAGGACCGATTTTCTTCTAAGAAAATCTTACTGGAGCAAGATATTCAGAATTCTTGCAGGAGGACCTAGTTCCGAATTTGGCTATTTTGTTCCCTTGTCCTATAGAAGCTGATGTCTCGAATAGAAACAGAAACTTGAAGAGCAAAGTTTTTAAGACCAAACCGGCAAATATTGGGGATTCAAAAGAACGAACAAGACAGGAGTGTAGGCGAAGTAATCAGAAATGTTCAAAACGAGTTTCAGTTACGTTCAGTGTATTGTCAGTTAGTAAATGGACAACATTTTGAATACTTGTTAACGAAACACTATTGAATTGAATTCATTTTTTTAATTAGATAATGTTTGTTGAATATCTTTCAAAAGACAAGGAGTAAAAAATTGAAATTTGGCAGGCATGTGCAACTTGTTGAACCCTTTAATAAAAGTCATTAAAAAAACAGGATTGCCATTTAAAAAAATTATCGATGACGTTATATCTCATATTTGAGACACACTGTATATTTTTTTTGCATTAAAATAAAGGCAATTTAAAATACTAATCGACGTGTTCGTCGACACGTCGATTAGTATATTTTCGCATATTTCCGAAAGAAACAACACCTTTGATTTAGTGAATTTGTTCCATGTTAGAGACTCGCGCTGTATAATATTTATAGATAATGCAGACAGTTTCATTGCAAAAAATGGTGCTTACTTCTGTGAAACCATCAGAGAATATTTTAATTATGTTTTGGGAATTTTTCAAACAATTCAACTATGTAGTGTCTGTCATCATATATCTGAATTCGTTTATTTTGATTGAGAGAACATTATTCCTTATTCATTCAATTTGAATATTACATTAATAAATATTACTGGAGTTTTTTCCCAAAACCTGTCCGTTATTTTAACACCTCGACATTTGTTTCGATCACCAAGTGATCATTTTCTTGATCATCTTCTTGATCATCTTGGTGATCGAAACACGTGTCGAGGTGTTAAAATAAGGGTTTGGTCTTGGGAATCATAAGTATTACATTAGAATCTTCGACAGATGAGGATAAGGACGACAATCAAGGAGAAGATGCCACACGAACACTTTACATTCTCGTGGAATTCTTCAATTTTTAAGGTAAATCTCATTTTAGTACATGGTATGAATTGAGTAAGAATTTAAAACAGAATACAGGATCCAACTATTTTGTGTTTTTTCTATTATTTTTATTTTCAAGTAGAGAAATCGAAATCTTAAAAACAGTATTCTCAACAGATTATTTGGTGGAATTTCCTGGTATTTCACAATACCAGGAAATTCTATTCATAGAGAGCACATGATGATATCATAAAATATAAATTAGTTAAGGATGTGAAGTAAAAAATCAACCTGAATATTAAATTTCAGACCACACCTTCCAAACGTGAATTTCAGATGTATAGTAACTTTCACTTTCGAGTAGAATCTCAAGTTGATTCGCCTTGAAAATTCACTTTTCGCCAGTGGCATTCGCTAAACAAATTGCATTGCCATGTGAATGAGATTACGCAATTTACACCATTTACCAAAATACACCATTCATCACGATCTAATTTGATTTTGAAAGAGGAAATAGAAATATTATTGATAGTAAATAAAGAATTTGAGAATTTATAGTGAAAATTAAAATATACGGTGTGATCCAAACCGTGACGTCCAAAAACAAATTATATACNATCTTTTATTTTTTCAGATTGTAGAAGGTTATAAACTCAAAAAAACAGTATAAGATCTCAAATGAAACCAGCAGGTAGGTACTCGACAAGAATGAAAGTTGAATATTGTAAATACCTGCGTGATTTTTTCTTAAATATAATGCGGCTCACTGAAACGTTTCTATTGCAAGTATCTGGCAGTTCTTTACAGCACATTGTGCGAATACAATTAATACTTTCATTAAAAAATACGTCTTTACATGAAAGTTTCAGCTACTGCACGAAACATTTGATAGAAATTGAAACTTTTTATAATATTTCCGGATGTATTTTTCAGCCAGTGCATGTCTGAATGAAGAAGACAAGATTTTTCGTTATATTAGGATATTTCATGAACATTTTTGTCGAATGCACTCATTTCAGGCCATTGTTTCACAACTAATACATTAGAGTTATTTACTACATCATGAAAGTTTCTAGAGGCAAGATTGTTTTTTTTGTCCTATCAAATGATCCTCATCACATTCTGTTTGATTCAAATCAATTTTATGTTCGGCCACATTTTGCTGATATCTCCGCTGATTTCAAACAATATAAACAAACGCAAATTAAAATCATCAAAATCGGAGCTATTTCTGAGAACTTTGATTCGGCTGTTACTTGATGAAAATCCATAGTAATTTCATAAACTACACCTTACGATTTGATCTCCACAAACTTTATTTGAGAAATATATCACATGTTTCGCTAACATAGAACACAGTAGCTTTATCAACAGTGATTTGAATACTACAAGTTGCTTTTTACGCTAATATTGATATACCACAAGTAACTACAATTGGGACTACCTCCATCAAATTACCTAAACCTCTAGAATTCTTATATACCTGAGGTACCTCTTCACTTGTGATTACCTGAAGCATATTAATTCACTACACATCAATACCGTAATTTGGGGTAACTTGAGACACTTTTTAACTTTGAAGTGAAGTTCACGACATACCTAGAATAACTGAATGTTGAAAAACTATTTGAAAACATTAGTCATATAGGTAACTATCATATGTTAGTAGAATATTCAATTTTATATTGTCATAAGTACTTTTTTTATTTATTAAGCTTGTCTCAAGTTATCCACCAGAATAGGGTAACTTTAGACAGCTATATAAAATCAATGAACGGCTCAAATTATGCATTGTTGTGGTAACTTGGGACAATGGAAATATAAATAGACAGTGTTATGTTAACGTATGATACAATGAAAATATTTTTGGGGTCAATAAAAACACAAAGGACTTAAAAAATTTATTTGATAATGACTGATTATAGTAATTTAGCTTAACTGAAAAGGTTTCATTTCTGGTATTGAAAAAATACCTCGTTTATTCAGCGCTTTAGGAGGCTTAATGCCTGCCAGCAATAATAGAGTTCATCCTTATGTTCAGGCCATTTCCAGTTTCCTCGTATTGTTTTAGTCATTACACTTATTGTTGCGCCTTTATCGTCAAGCTTCTCAATGACCCCAGGATAAAAATTTGAATCATACCGAACTATAACAAAACTTCCAACTTGTTTATTTATTGGCTGCAGAGTAGGATGAGAGGAAATACTCTCTTGGTTATTGTCTTCAATTTTGTCGTCAATATTGTCTTCAATATTCATAATCTGTTTTGCTCGAAATGAATCCCAGTCATCATCTAAACTGTCGTCAAGAACAACCTCATTATTGCAACTGTCTTCGTCACTTTCACTGGACTCAAGTACTTTATGTGTCTTCTGCCTTTTCTTAGTTAGTTTTTCTTTATTTATGACACTTTGATCTTCCATTAATTGTTTTCTTTCCTTTTTTTCTTGCTTTGGGTTGTCTTCCAATATAACGGGTGTAGACACCCAAGCGGTGTTGTCATTTTCTTGTCTTCTTCTACTGCCTTTTTACCTGGGAGTCTCTTCAATACCTCTTCTCGATTTAGTGGAATTAATCCTGCCCCTCTAAATCCACTCTTGACATTTTTTGAAATATTTTCCTTTTCCATTTCCTCCAGACATTTTTTTAACAAACGAGGAAAAGTATCTTTTGGAATAGTTTCACGATTTTTTGCTTTCCATGAAGATGAAGTTTCACGCCACTTGATTTTAAGTGGACGGAAAAATACTACATCTAACAGCTGAGTGAGTCCAGTGCTGCTTGGAGGAAGTAGAATGAATAGGATGTTGTTTTTTTACATTCTTCTATTATATATGGGGATATATGACTCGCTAAATCATCCCCAATCATAACTTTCTTCTCCTCTTTATCTTGCTTCAAGAAATAGGGCAAGGCAATTTTTCGAAACCAGTCTTCGAAAATCTCCAAAGTAAACCATCCACTCTTACTCCTATTATAAACTATACCCTTGGGGCCATGTTCGATCCAGGTATTATAAAGATTCTCAGCTTTATATGTTACATATGGGGGAAGAAGTGTCCCGTCCCCGGCAGCAGCAAACATAACAGAAGTGCTCGACTTTGAGGAGTCAATAATCCTTTCAGGATGTCGGCACCCTCTTCTAACAACATCCTTTTTACGGCCTGGGTCGTCTGTAATATTTGTTTCGTCATAATTAATGACAGAATGAGGAAGAATTCTCTCAAGTGAATGGTTCCACTCATCAAAGTACAGATTTATGGCGTCATGGTCGACTTTTGCTCGAGCTCTCTTTATGTTCTGGCACATTTTATTACTTAATGTGTTCTGGTGACGCTTCAAGAAAGACATAACAAAATCTGGACCTGGCATGTTGTTTTTGAATCTATATTCATTTCTTCCAGAACGGTCCAGGAAGGCTTTAACAATGAGTCTAATGTCGTATAGTGTGAGGGGAAAGCCCCAATCCCCTGCTGAACATAGACACATTGCTAATGCATTCTGGTCATTTTCATTCAAAACAAATGGTCTGCCGACCTTCCCTGTATTTTTCCCATTCATTGCTCTATTGATAGAGCATCGTGGTATACCAAACTGTTCTTCCGCTTTTCTCAAAGAAAGTCCAGACCTGACAGCTTCCACTGCTTTAATCAGTTGGTCATTCGAGAAATTTCGGTATTTACGAGACCCCAAAACGTTTTTTTGGGTTCGAACCATAACTGACCTGAAACAATTTGTTACGCAATAATGGTCAGGTTGTGAATTTATATTTTGTAGCAACCATAAACTTTGCAACGCCGCAATGAAATTCATGATATATCACAATTGATGTTAGAGGTTAACTTTTCTACAAAAATCACTTGTTTTCAGATATTAGTCATGAAATTATGACATAAGTTATGTAATGTTTGAAATTTGACAGTTTAAAAGTTGAAGTTTAGTGAAAAATTAAGAACTTACCTTAGATAGTATAAATGGATTCAATTATTATCGGTTGATAATACCACGTTCCACACCTCTTGCGAACAAAACAACATCACCTATGTCAACAGGGTTGCCAACATCACGAAAAATAATGGTGTCTGCAAATTGTCCCAAGTAACCCCATCGTCTCAAGTTACCCCAAATTACGTTACATCAATAATAATTCTTCCTCGTTTACAAAAAAAAAAGGATTTCAATAATGGTGATCTATTCAAATCCAGTTGGTCATTCATCAGAATGATTGAATTTTTAAGTTCATTAATTTTCAATATTTCTAAAAGATTCAGTTTCAAAACTTTATTTTCTATGTGTAAAATTTAGAACTCTTTGTTAAAGATATGATTATCTTCTAAAAGATGATTTGAATATGTGGAACTTGTTTTCTTATTTACATAGCTCATATGATGATCCTGGATTTGATTCCTAAATGTTCTGCCAGTTTGACTAATATATACCTTAGGGCACGTTCCACACTTTAACTTATATACTTTTGACCTCTCGAATTTGGATGTTTTGTCTTTATTATTTTTACCTAAATTTCCCAACGTATTACTTGTTCTGTATGCAATTTTTATATTACGTTTTTCCTATTGATAAGTTAGATAATAAAAATCAAAATTATAGAGCTTTAACGTATTTTGGACAAACAACATGTATTTCAGTCTACCATTCATGTTGCGGATCTAATGATTTAACTGAAAGAATTATGCAAATGTTGTAAGGTGACTATTGAAAGTATACAAGTATATGGTCAGTTATATAATTATCAGTGATCTAATTTCATGAATTGGTATAGCACGTTTTCTGCACGACCCTCAAAGATTACGATACAAATTTCAAGTTGAACATGTGTTATTAATAATTATGAACAATAAGTGGATAATAACCTGATCGACCCACTGTTTATACAATGAACGTCGTTAATCTATAAAATATACCGAGTTTTGGGATATCTGTAGAACGTGTTCAATATTTTTGAATATTTAAGTATATTAGTCGGCTTGGCACGAGTAACAGAAAATATATGCCTCCATAACACTAATTCTTGATAAAATTCGCTCAAACAAAAGTGCGTTCGTTTCTTATCAATTTCAAATTTGAAGACGGTAATTAAAATAGGTAAAAATGTATCTATTTGAAGACAACACAAAGCAAAAAAGCGACTTCGACGTTCAAAGATGTTCACTATGTAAAATGAAACCAACGCATTCGCAACGCACGACTGTAGCATCGGTTGATGAGGCCACCTACATTTTTTTTGCGCGCGATAGTTTTAATTTCTCGATAACTCCTATATAAGGCCAGTGACATACTTCGCGATTTCCGAGCGGTTTTTTATTTTTATACCCACCGCTGCATTTGAATGGAATATGACACTGCGATTTTTAACAGCGGCGATTTTTACAGCCGACTGGTCTTCGGATTCCGAGCGTTACCCGGAGGGCAAGGGCGACCAAGTAGAGGAAGACCCCAGGTAAACGAATGGGACCCGACAGTGTTGGCTATTTCCGAGCGGTTTTTCAGTTGCGCTTCGTGCATAGAAAACTTTAATTCGTGGCGTAGAAAATCACCTTTCTTTGTGGGATAAAAGCGAGTATGTACTACATATATATATTTTGAGTTTTCCATAAGATATGTGTTGATTGGATTTTATGTATTTTCAAGTTTTACATAAGATATGTGTTGGTCATGTCTCCCGCTTGAAGAAATATGTGATGAATACAATATTTTATAAACTTGAACTGACATCAATGTACCAGTAAGCCTCTCTTCAACACCAGAAGGGTACCTCTTCTGGTGCAATCTAACTGTAGCAAAGGTTGAACAATTGCCACAAGTTCGTCGAACGACTTTATGGATTTTCGATAATAGATAAAAAAATTGTCTTCATATTCTCTGATTTTTTGTATAAAACAGAAAACCTTTCTTCCTGATTCCTCTTTCGTTGGTACGGGTGCACGTCGTAACTCATTGAGTGGGTCTTCCAGCAAAAACGTCTTCTGCTTCTAAAGCGTAAAGGAATACCACCATTCGATGGTGAAATATTGCAGCAGCAGCAAATGCAGACTTCATAGTGGTTACTTTGAAGGCACAAACGATACTAGAGGACGACAAGGAAATATTTACCCTCAGGTCAGAAACCCGGACACAATCGCGGACACTGTCAGGTACTCACTGTTGCGATTTTTACCCAGCAATTTCAGCTCGGAAACCGCGCTGGAAAAAATCGCGAAGTATATCACCGGCCTGTGTCATTTGAATTACATGGCATGGAAAGCAATTACAATGTGCATGAAATGATCAAGATAACTGATGTAATTGATTTGTTGGAGTTTATCATCGTTTTGGTCTAAATGGCTTTCCAGGTACCACATAATATAAGACCAGTATTTCAAATATTATAATGGGTATAGTAAGATATCTTCAAAACATAGGTATAGGTCCACTGCGGACTGTTTGTAAACTCATAAAAAAAGAAACGTAGTGAATTATTTTGTTATATCTCAAAAACATTAGGCAGATAAAATATTTCCTGAATTCTCGAAGATAAAATGTTTTTATTGAAGGGGGTATATTTTTAGGTGAGATTAGTTTTTGGGAAAGAAAGGTTTCGGCCTTTCTACTTCCCAACCTTTATACAAAAACTTCAATGAATTTTGCATATACATCTTTCTCTTGGTCTCCGTCCATTTGTGAAAACCGTATGAAAATCCGTTCTGTAGCTTTTGAGTTTATCACGTTTAGATGGACAAACACTTCGTGGGAATTTGTTTTATAATATGTATTAGTTCATTCATTTCAATTTGATGTTAATATAGCTAGTTCATTAATTTTGTTAATGATAATATAGATGCGAATCGTGACCATGGAAAAAATAAATAGTAACATTCCTTTCAGGTTTTTGACACCAAAAAGACGGAATTAATAGATGGAATAACAATAAACGAACAAGATGAACATCGAATTCATTATTGGAAAATCCAATTTGTTTGAAGCAGCCCAATTATATATAAATATTTTTTTTCGAAGCATATCAAAGGTATGATGGGGCAAGTTATCTAAGTTAAAATAGAAGAAAATAAATGGTTTTCAACGGGCAAAATGATAGATTTCCGGATAGTCTATTAATAATCCTATGATATTAGCAATAATTTCGATATTATCAAATCGTGGTCATTCCAAAATATTCGTGTTGGTTTTTCCGCGCCTATGATGAAGTTGCATTCTTTAATGTTATGTAAGGAACAACTTTCCTTTTTCCAATTGCTCAATGATATTTGAGCATATACTTTGCTTCGAACAATATGAATTCAAACAGACAACCCTACGCACCAAAAACATGTGTCCGAATTTATTGACGTTAGAAGTCTCTATGAATCGATGATGTTGAAGTGCTGTTGAATATGAATACTCACTAATGCCACTTATGTGTTTTTTTAAAATATGTTTGGAGGGATTTAAAAATCAGATATGGTAACGCTGCCCAAAAATTTCTCTGAATTATACCCCCCATCAGCTTGCTGCTGGGTCAGATTCTGTGATTTTTTTTGATGTACCATTGTTTAGAATAGTATCGTTGTTTTAGCTGAATATTGGATATGGTTCAAAACATATACACATATTGTAAAAATACCACCGTTTCGATGCCAAAAGAGAATTTTCATGATAACACTCTATGAATATAACAAAAATGTTGGTTAGAAGTAGCATGTCGTGACATTTTTAATGTGTTTAATGTGTTCAGTGTTTTATGGAAAATACAAAAACAATGTCAATAACAGGTTCTAGTTCGATTAAACCATTTACAGCACCCTCTCTTGCGAGAGGGTCGAAAGTTTTATTACGTTCCAGGCCAGTGTGGCCAAAGAACTCAGACCCTAGTTTCCCCATTAAGAAGGACGTAGAGAACGCACGTGTTGCCAATACCGTGAATCAAAGGTTTTGGCGTTTCGATAGGTTATAACTTCTTCTTAGCAACATTTTAAACAGTTTGAAAGATTCAGTGTTCTCACTTTCGGGTTTGAAGGCCGTGGATATTTGAAATTTTTTCCCGACCTTTCGTTGACGCGAGTGGCTAGCCTTTTCAGAGGTTTATACATCCTGAGTTAATATCTCCGACGACTAGATATTACGGCTGCGTAACGCGTATTTATGTTGACTTCTCAGATAGGCTCCGATATTTGCCTTGTAACATATTTCATTTGACAGGGCTTGACTAGTAGAACAGTAGGTATTATACTTTGAAAAATACAATACCGCTCTCTGTTTCGATAAGTTTGTTGGGGGTTAAAATGGCCATCAATATGTCTTGGCACAATCATGTCGCTGGAATTGCAAAGGCTGCTTCTTAAAAGCTTGGAGCACTGTTCCGAACCAGAAAACTGCACATACCTCAGAATCTTTTGATGCTTTATAAAGCTCAGATCAGACCTTCTTTGGAGTATTGTTCTCATGTATAGAGCTCCGCACCTATGCATATCCTGAAGCTGCTGGATTCCATGCAGGAAAGAGCTATCAATCGCAACCTTGATAGTCTGCATCATCGTAGAAAGGTTGGAGATTTGTCTTTCTTTTATAGATATTTTCACGGCATGTTCAAGTGACTCAACACATTTGCTTCCATCAAGAGCGGTACATATCAGAAATACGCGACGGACTGTAGCTGCTCATCGTTTTGAGGTTCAACTCATTACACCTCGAACTTTTTAAGTACTCTTCCATTTGGAGAACTG